GTGATTGCATGCTCTCATGTCATTCCAAATTGGTATGTGCCCCTCCAACCCACATTCTAACAGAACGATGCCAATTTGCTCTCCAATTTCCTTCTTCGCGGTTGGCAACGGCTAATGCCTTGTTTTACCGTACTGAAAAACATAATGAGGTAGCGTGATGCTTGCACAATGTTCTGCATCTTTCAAAGTTTCAAGCCGGACTGACATTCTTAGGACTGGCTGTCCGAGACAGCGACATTGAAATCTAACGCCTCTATTCACACCAAACGCTATGTGCATACACATAGCTTATAAAGAAAACAATGTCGCGACTACGGCCAGCGCTACCCTCAAACAGGATGCGCCTTGTCGTCTTTATCCTAGAACAGGACTTCCTATTAACCCCTTCTGGTCTTAGGCAATGCAAACAATTTGAAATTGTAGATTTCTAGGCTGAAGCGAGGATTGTGTATGAAGAGCTTTACAATCAAAGAGGACATTATTGTGGAATGCTGAATTTTCGCAGCTTGCCAGACGTGGAGTCGCATTGTTTGTTTTGGAGAATTCTGGGATTTGAAAGGACAAATAATATTGTGGTGATTTCATGTAACAGGAACAAATTTACTTTTTTGACAGAGTAAGGTTTTGAAAGAACAGTAACATTATTTTCCAAATCTGGAAAATTGATTAAGATTACAGTTCTTCATTAAGCTGCTAAATCACTTGATTGGCTCTGAGCTTCATTTTTATTAAGGTAAGCAGTTCTTTCTGGTTCAGTGATAGGCCATAAGGGATTTAGAAAAAGACCCTAAATTTGTGGCTTTTTTTAATAGCATTATCTCTTGTCTCTTGAAAGGCACTGCTCAAAATTTTCTTTGAGCTCTTTTATTCATTTCGCATCTTATCTGAGTACACACCTGGAAAGCACAGATCACTTAGATTTACTGGACTTTGCTCCTTCGTGTCCGTAAACCCTTCTCAAGCTTGTGCTAGTTGACTATTTAGCATACAGTAAATTTTTCGAAAACTATTTTCATTCTTCCTTCACTTGTCTGCAGATTATGCATGCACAGTTGCTATATGCAACGAATAACTTGCACTACATTCAAAGTTTTTCAAGTCTCTGCTGCTTAAAAGTTAAGCCTCGCCTCGCCCCAAAGTCACACAGGCTCATAGAAGCTCTTAAAATTGGTCACTTTCCGTTACAAAGGAGCTCTTCAAAAGCTGATGAAAGAATTTTTGGCTGAGACATCGATCAAAAAGGTTCTAT